CCCGAGTACCCTCCTCGGCCAAGGATGTGCCTGGGCCGAGCACTATGTCGACGGCGACGACACCGACCAACGTTCGGTCGACGACGGAAAACACACTCGTGCCCCAGGCCGAGTACTACGCACAACGCGTACTAAAACCCGAGCAATCCTCGGTCAAGTTTGAAATGTGCACTCGCGCCCCAGGTTTCCCTCCCGAGTACCCTCCTCGGCCAAGGATGTGCCTGGGCCGAGCACTATGTCGACGGCGACGACACCGACCAACGTTCGGTCGACGGCGCAGAACAGACTCGTGCTGGCCCACGTGACCGATACGGTCTCTCCGGTACAATACATAAGAATAAAAACAAAACATAAATTTTAGAAGGATAATTTCTTTTACGGAAATGAGAATAAAAATTCACTAATTTTCCAAGACTACAAAATGTATTTAAGAAAGAAAAAAAAAAAAGTCAACTTCGGTGAGAATTATTTAAATTCTTCGGTAACGGTACGGTCTCCTAAACCCTAAAATTAATATACCGCAAAAAGTACTATTTAAATTTTGAATGATTATTGCTGTCATAATTTTTTTTTTGTTTTTTTAATGATTACATATTACTCAGAGAGTCCCAACACGCACTTGGTTTTCTACATTTTTTTAATAAAGGTGCATAATAATATGACTGGACAAGTATTCGGACGACATTGTTAGTTCATTACCAAATCTTAATAAAATCAAATTTTTGTAGAGATGACAACGCGGTTGACCCAAATCAGTTTGCTAGTTAACCAAATATGACATGATATAGTTAACCCAAATATGACATGATATGTTGACCAAATTTTTGAAAGTAGGCTATTTGTCTAAACTCTAAATTATATCAAAACTATAAATAAAAAAAAATATTTTTAGTAAAATGTGAATGGGATGAGAATTATTTGAGTTTTCAGAGAAGCGTTTTTAAAGAAAGAAATTGTCTTCTTTATATTATTAATAAAAAAATTAATTTATTAATATTATATCTTATTTTATCATTAATTTTGTAAAAAAAATTCTTGATCTGTTTTTATTAATAATTTTTTTTAATTTTAAATCAAGTAATATTAGTAATTGATAAATTAGTATTATTAATAATTAGAAATAAAACGTTAACCAAGTAGCATTATTATTAATAAATTAGTGTTATAGAAATTTTGGAAACGTTAAAAATGAGTTTTCTGTCCATTTTTTTATTGTTTAATTTTTTTTATAATTTTTTTTATTTGAATTTTAAATCTAGTAGTGATTTGATATAAATTACTATCAATAAATTTGTAAATCTAATTAGTAATGAAACGTTAATCAAGTAGAATTATTATTAGTAAATTAGTGTTATAGGAATTTTGAAAAAGCTTTTTTCACACCAAGTTTTGGAGACGTTAAAAACTTAAAATGAGTTTTCTCTCCAAATATTATATTGTTTAAATTTTTTAATAATTAGTATTTTTATTTAAATTTTAAATCTATTAGTGATTAGATTTTTTGTCCAAGTATTCTTTTTTCATTTTTTTCGTTAATTTTAATGAAAATAATTTTTTTTGACACCAAATAATGAAAATAATTTTAATATTCAACACACACAAGTATAAAGATTATTTGTAAAAGCAGTTCTCCAAATATTTAAAATAGTCGTTTAAAAATGGATATTCAATAATTATTTTTAATAATTGTTTGAGTTTTGGAGGAAAATTTTGGAAGAATTTTTAT